GCTTGCTACCAGGGTGAGGAGAATGAGCCCCACCTGGCTACAACCTCATTTCAGGTAGTTGTAGAAAGTCATAAGGTCTCCCCCGAGCCTCCTTTTCTCCAGGTTAGACAAACCCAGCTCCCTCAACTGCTCCTCCTTTGTTCCAGACCCTCCACCAGCTCTTTCTCCTGTCTCTGAACAAGCTCCAGCACCTCAGTGTCTTTCTCATAGTGAGGGGCCCAGAATTGAACACAGGACTCGAGGTGCGGCCTCACCAGTGCCAAGTACAGAGGGAAAATCACTGCCCTGGTCCTGCTGTCCAAACTATTGCTTATACAAACCAGGATGCCATTGGCCTTCTTGGCCACCTGGGAACACTGCTGGGCCATGTTCAGCCAGCTGTTGACCAGCACTTCCAGCTCCCTTTCCACTGGGCAGCTTTCCAGCCACTCTTCCACCGGCCTGTAGCATTGCATGGGGTTGTTGTGACCCAAATGCAAGACCTTTGCTTTCTGTAGCAAATGAGGAAAAAAGCAACTGATCTCAGGCTGACAGGGTGTTACACAGAAGGTTGCGCTACATGAACCCCGTGAGGTGACTCCACCGCCACTGGAGGAGTGTCCTCCTCTGAGGATACAGAGCAGAGACACGGGAACAGCTTTATGCCATGCTGGTTTGTTCTGCTCGTCTTGAACTAAGTAGCCACCCATGTGTCCTTGGGAAAGTTCACCAGTTTCCTAACACCAGCTTGCCAGATCCCTCTGGAGCGTGCAGGCTGTCATTTGACAACACACATTAAAACATCAATCTGGTTTTGAAGGTTTTTAAACCCAGTAGCCCTTCCAGCAAAATATGACCACAACTCCCATTCTCTGAAATCGTGGGCTGTACTTACTCTGCACTACTACCTTCGGTAAGGGCTGCTCAGTTCTGGGGCACAGCATGCAGCAACTCAGTAAATTGGCTTAGCGTACATGCAAATAAATAAAATAACAGGGAGCAGCACTGGCAAGCATGTTGCAAAGACATCCAAGCAATTCTCGTGCAGCCAGCACAGGTCTGGCAGACCCAGAAGGAGATAGAGCTAATAAAACCTGGAGAACCCAAGCTGTGCCTGCATCTGCGGTGCAATTAATCTGTGACACGAACAATCTGCCTCCAGATAACTGGAAGCTGACTATATGTACAAATTTAACAACTCACATTAATTAACACTTGATTAGATAGATTGAAAAAATATCATTAATATTTGGCAACAAATAGCAAATACCATTACAACTCATAAGCATGAACATTATGCATCAGTAATTATGAGACACAGCGAAGTCATGATACTGTACATATGCATTTTGATTTTGTAATTTAATTTTGATCTCCCTATTATTATCATCTCTAAGATAGACAATTAACATAAATTATGTTACCATAGCACACTGGAGTCCTGCTCACAGGCACTATTGCCGTGAGTAATACACAAACATGACAAAAGGTAATGCCATGAAGTGTTAACACAGACCTACGAAACAAAAGATTATGGAGTATGAAGAGGTGACAAGAACTATCAACATGCCGAGAAGAGATCTTTGTATACTAGTAGCTTAGCTACTGTCAGCTTTTATGGACATCACAGTAAAATAGCCTATTAGAGAGGGAAGGCTTTGCATGAGGGTAACAAGACTGCTTTTTATTAAGAAATTAGTTGTCGTTTCTGTACCATATTACCAGTGTTTCTGCCACCCATGTCAGTTCAAACCAAGAACAATTGTGTCAGGACAACAAAAACTTCTGCTTCTCCTTTTACTCTGAAGTCTGCAATCCACTTGGCATAGTTTCAGCAGTCTTTCTTCCTAAATCCTAATGTTAGGGAAGGTAAGTGACCTAAGAGGGGGACACACTTGCTACCTATGGCAAAGACAAAACATTACAGGCAACAGCATCTAGGGAATTTCTTGTCTTCCCTCCTCTGAGAAAAGTGTTATGTTCTGGCAAAAAAAGGCAGAAAGTTGAAACAATCTCCTATGCAGTTGCTCAAACCCAGATGTTAGGCAAATGTAGAAGTTAGTATATGTTTATCCATGTGCTTGATATTTGCAGCTGGTGCCTTTTTAAAACCATCTCTAGCCTTAGCTGCTGTCTTGCAACTTGCATAAAATTCATGAGCCCTGGCAGTGTTTCAGGTACATTAGCTGCAAGGCCTGGAGCACAACTCCATTCTAGGAGTACCATTGGCTATATTAGAGTTTAACTGGCTGAATCAAAGGTCAGCTGCACTGCTGATAAGACCTGTTGTGAAGAAAGCTAGAAATGAGAGCTTCCTTCTCCTTTCCCTTGGGAACTGCTTTTAAGCTGAGGCTGTACCATTGGCCCTCACAGCAGCTATATCTACAGCTGGTCTCCTATTTCCTCGATCCTGACTCAGATCCTGACTCAGACCTGCTGGCTGGGCTTCCTGGATTGCTCTTGGACTTTCCTCGTCGCTGCAGACTTGCTATGCAATCACTGGACTATGTCTGACTCTCATCACTGTCACTTCTCAAGACTTCTCAAGAACCAAACGTGCTTCTCCACATCCTTTTGGTGAGGTCTTAGCTCCCACCTGCCTTGGCATCATGCTCCACCTGTGACTCACCTTCCCTTGCTAGGCAAATGGCCCTCACACCCCCTGACATTGCCACACTAAAACCACTACCACTCTGCCATGCATAAAATTTTGTCACATGGAACTTTTAATGTGCAGAACAACTCTGCTGACTGTCCACAATGAAAGAAGCATAAGCCACATGAGGTAGCAGATAGAGATTCATCTCTCACAGCTCAGCTACCTATCACAGCCATACAGCTGCTCCACACACCTTTGTTTCACACTAAATTAATTTCTACTCTTCAAGGTTGTATAAAGGTTTGTACAGCCAGCACGGCCAGCCATCAGGGCAACTCTGACTTAGGGGAAGTCTTTGCAGAATGCAGAACCGGGATGGAATGTCTTCCTTTGTATAAGGCTCATTAGGACTGCTGTCGCACTTCAGCTCTTCTTGGCTACTGGACTGGCTCTGCAGGTTGGAGAGAGAGAGCCAAGCATACAGATGGTCAGCGTGCACATACTATGAGTATTGCTAGTTTGCAAGGCCTATACATGAACTAGAATCCTGTCGAATTAGGTTCAATATATGCTGTGTATAAACAGAATACAGATGCACAAATATTTAAATATAAGACAGGAGATGACAGACACACAGATGAAGGAGAATGATTTTGAGGAGCACGATAGGCAGAAGTCTCAGTACATCAGGAAACTTGCCATTATCCAGTTTCGTCACAACAAGAGATAATCATTAGGTAGGTTTTGAAGTAGAAAGATACAGATTAAAGTAGATAAACTTCCGTGGATACTTAGGAGACCAGGGGCAAAAGTGAAGGAAACAAAGAAAGCAAATAAGAATCATAGAATCATCAAGATTGGAAGACACCTTTAAGATCATCAAGTCCAACCACCAACACAGCATTGCCACTGTAACCCCTAAACCACTAAACCATATCACCAGCACCAGGTTCAGATGCCTCTTAAACACCTCTGGGGATAGTGACTCAACCACCTCCCTGGGCAAAGAGGACAATGAAAGAAACTGAGATGCTTTTCTGAAAGTTCAACTAATGGCTGTAAAAGCTTGTATTCAGCTGATGAGAGACAGGACCCAACTACTTTGTACAAAAGATAGATGTGGGAAAGGGATAGGCTGTAGAAGCTACTTGCCAAGGCCAAAGATAACAATGTTCTGAGAGTTAGGATGAAAGGTGAAAACACAGAGAAGTGGTGTGGATGGATAGGGGGCACCATATAATAGAGATCTGATGCACAGGGAATCCTAATAACTTAGAGCTGGACTGTAATAGTGATGAAGCAATGTCTGCTTTAAAAAAAGGGATCATCTTACCAGTTTTACACTCGCTATATGCCCAATAGAAAAACCTGTTAATATTTTTTCTTTCATTTCTGACTTTAAAAACTAAATACTATTTGACTATTCCAAAATTACACAGTTTTGCAAGACTAAGCATCAAGCAAGTCATTAGCATCATCTGATGTGATTGAATTACTCAGAATCCAGAGGTTATCTGTGAAAGAAATTTTCCCTAATACAGGCATATATTCACTGGCACAAGAAAACAGCACTGAGGAATGTAGGAAGGAGTGGATGTCAGAGGTATGTATGCATTAATAGAGTTGTCCTGTTTTCACCTTTTGCTGCTAATGCAAGTATTAAATTGCTTTTGTTGCATTCTTTGTCACTGTGGTTATCTATTGCTTCTTCCTTTTCAGTTTACTCCTTTCTATCCTCAACCCTACCATTCACTCACCAACCTAACCCAGTTGGTCTCCTCTGTCCTGAGATCTTTCAATAGAGAAGAATCTTTCTTGCCTGACGTATTTTTCCAGAAACATCTTCTTGACCTTGCCTGCTTCCTTAGCTCAGATTCCCCTTCAATTGCCTCAAGCGCTTCTAACACCTAATTGTTTCTTCTTGTCACCATGGCAGTGTGTTTCCTAAATCCCTATGCATCCTCAGTTTTCTCTTGCTCTCTTTCTATTGTTGGTCACTTTTCAAAATTTTCCAAAGATAATTTCTGAAACCTTGACATGCCTTCTACATAGTACTGTAGGAAACAACACAGTCACTCACTGTCTTATTGCACTGCAAAACTTCACGTCTGTCTTTGAGAATATGTAGAGTGTCTCCTAAGGTATTCAAAATGTAGGAGCTGGTGTGATTGACTACCTTATCAAACAATAGTTACATTGCTTTTTGAAATGTCATAGAGTGTCAGAGTACATTGTCTTAGGATGTACATCTGTGGGTTTTAGTTACGTTCGCAATGGTAGGAAGAATAACCTAAATGCAAAAGGAGAACATAAATAATTTGATAGGTTGCTTTACAGGTATTTTTATGGTAACTCTGATGGAAGTCTGTGCTATTTAATGAGGTACTTTCATTTTCTGTTTTTTTTCCTTTGATCTTTATAGCTATCTCCAAAAGGATGTTTTTGAATACAGAAAGCAATATGCAACACTGCTAAGATCCTGATGACAATACACCAAGAACAAGAATGGGAGTCAATTTATTCAGCAATTCTACTGTTGTAAACAGTTCATCAATCAACCATAAGCAGTTAGAGGGGCATAGCCTCTGGGAAGTCATTACTATTGCCACTGTAACTGCAATTGTAAGCTTAATAACCATAGTGGGAAATATTCTTGTAATGATATCCTTTAAGGTTAACAGTCAGCTCAAAACTGTCAACAATTATTACTTGCTGAGCCTTGCCTGTGCAGATCTCATCATTGGGATATTTTCTATGAACCTTTATACGTCCTATATACTCATAGGCCATTGGTCTCTTGGAAGCCTTGCCTGTGACCTGTGGCTAGCACTGGACTATGTAGCTAGCAATGCCTCAGTAATGAACCTTCTAGTCATCAGTTTTGACAGATATTTTTCCATCACAAGGCCTTTAACTTACAGGGCCAAACGCACGCCCAAAAGAGCTGGCATCATGATTGGTCTGGCTTGGCTAATTTCCTTCGTGTTGTGGGCACCTGTAATCTTGTGCTGGCAGTATTTTGTTGGTGAACGAACAGTACCACCTGAAGAGTGCCAGATACAGTTTCTAGATGAACCCATTGTCACCTTTGGTACTGCAATTGCTGCTTTTTACATTCCGGTGTCTGTGATGACCATTCTGTATTGCCGCATCTATAAAGAGACAGAGAAACGTACCAAGGACCTTGCTGAACTGCAGGGTTCAGAGTCTGTGGCAGAGTTTGAGACAATAAAGCCTCAGAAAGCTCTCCTGAAGTCTTGCTTCAGTTGCAAGCAACAAAACTTAGTCAAAAGAGAGAGGTGTCAGGCTTCTTGGTCTTCATCTAGTCGAAGTACGTCAGCCACGGTGAAAGCCTCTCAGGCAGCGAGTACTTGTATCGACTGGGCTAAGGCTGACCAGTTAACCACCTGCAGCAGCTACGCATCATCAGAAGAGGAGGATAAACTTGCCGCTGACTCAGTTTTCCAAGTAACTTATGGAAGTCCGTCTAATAGTAAGGCAGAAGAGTTTCATGAGAGTACAGATGTTGTTGTAAAAGACCAACCTGAAGAAAATGATTTTGAGAACCAGAAATACTTTTTGTCACCTGCCAAAGACCACATACAGAAAAGTAAAAAATGCGTAGCCTATAAATTCCGATTGGTGGTTAAGACTGATGGCACCCAGGAAGCCAACAATGGTTGCCAAAAAGTAAAAATAACTCCTTGTTCTGCTGCTCTGTCAAAGGATCCTTCCATCAAAAGCATGGATCCAAATATAAATAACCAAATCACCAAAAGGAAACGGATGGTTCTTATAAAGGAGCGCAAAGCAGCACAGACTTTAAGTGCCATTCTTTTGGCTTTTATCATGACATGGACTCCCTATAATATCATGGTTTTGATCTCCACATTTTGCCCTGAATGCATTCCAGTAACACTGTGGCACCTCGGATATTGGCTATGCTATGTGAACAGCACTGTTAACCCCATGTGTTATGCCCTCTGTAATAAAACTTTCAGAAAGACTTTTAAGATGCTGCTTTTCTGCCAGTGGAAAAAGAAAAAAGTGGAAGAGAAACTATACTGGCACGGCAATACCAGACTGCCATAATTGCTTTTGAATAAGGAATAAGGGGAAATATATATATTGATGTAACCTAGCAAATTGACTGTAATTCTGTCTTTTCAAAGCTGTTGCTTTATGTGTCTAGTGGTTAAAAAAATCTGCTGAAAAGTTAAATTTTGCATGAAAATAGCGTGTGCTTGGGATAAAAAGTCAGTGGCTGCTATGAACGACACAGTTTGTTTTTGACTATGCAGTAGATCTGCATTAAAGTTACTATGTTTGGGGTCTTATGTCCTTTCTTTCAGCCTAAGAATATGTAGAGTAAATTATGAACTACTAGAAATTAGACTGGGATGGTCACCCAATCATCAGGTTAGGTCATCCAGTCTTTCTCCCTGTAATTCCCTGTCTTTCTATAATTCCTTGCTAGTGTATTTTCTATTGAGTTTTCAATGTACCAAGCAATGGAGCTTGTATTACTTTTGTTTTGAGACTTTTCTACCTGCTGTTAAAATGCAACAAGGAATATGTAAAGGGATAAATGCTGTCATGCCCAATACTAAATGGTTAGGGAGATTATTAATACTCAAAATGAACACATATGGCAGGAGATTGTGATACTGATAAAATTTCCACTTTAAGGAGGACTTTTGTGGAGACATTGGAAGGGCTCATAGTGAAGGGAATAGATAATGTATCTTGTATATGAAGAAGCCAGTCCCAATCTCAGTCCCAATCCATCATAAAAGTGACTGTCATCTGCAAAAATGGTGTTGATTAGCAGATATCTCTAAATTTCTCCAGTTCCCAGTACCTCTGAATGAAATTTTAAAATTTTATGCAATACTGACAATGGTACAAAACAGAACTGACTGTAAAGCATAATGGATACCGTCTATCTACAACACAAGGAAAGCCTTTTTCCAAATTACCTTTGTTGTGCTTCCCCTGAGCCCAGAATTTTCCATTACTGATGGAATGATGCAGAACAAGAGAAAAATAAGTATTGGTACACTGTACGTTTACCTATATATAAACAGTGACAGAATTGGCATCCCTGAAAGAAGATTTTTTAAAGTAACTTTTGAATATTTCTATAAAACTATTAAGGACACTTTACAATTTTTGTCTTTGAATAGCTTTACAAATAGTAGTCAGTATCAGGTGCTTGGAAACACAAGTTACCTTCAGGCACTGTCTTTTGGTCCAGCAGAACCATATCTGCTACCGTACCGGGGGCTGGAGTCAACCCCTCAGGTGGCTATAGCTTCTGGGACTGGGTTGTACTGGCCTAGTTACAATGACCTGAGGCACTGACCACTAGCTGAGGTTTGCTGGGGCTTTTGGTGCCGGGGCTGAACTGCCTGTGCCTGACTGATGTCTGTGAAAGATTGGCAGGAGTCCTGCAGCACTTACTGGGTGCATAAGCAAGGGGCTGCCTTCAGCAGAAGGCCAGTGGAACAGAGCTGCTGACCTGCCTCTTTCTGGCAGGAACAAACAAGAAGCCTCAGAAAAGACTACGAGAAAACAAAGTTAATGACAACAGAAGTCACGAGGAATGAAGATGTAAAGGAAACAAATGTTTATGAATAAATGAGAAAGATCTTCATGTACTCAAAGTTCAGATTCAGTTCTAGCCTTTCTATTAAAATTCTGAGTGAGGTACTCTGGAATATTAGTTTGGGACAATCTTCATATAATATCTGCTATACACGTTAGTGGGACATTATAGTGGTGACATGACCCAGTTGCACATTTCAGGGATTGTATTAGTTATCATGAATGTACCATTGCTCTCAGTGAAATTGTTTGTATAATTTATTAAATTATCATACCATCAAAAATTTCCCTACATATGAATAATTCCACCATTTCAACAATCACAGTACAAGTAATTAACATTTTCTGTATCCCCAGTCTCCACAGGGCAGAATTGTGTCAGTGAAAGGTTAGCAGTGTAATAATGTAAAAATATGTTCTCTAAATTCACGATTGATTTTGTAATGCGTCATACGGTGCCTATTATTTTTTGTGCACTATGATTACTTATTAAAGGAAAGCAGAGGTTTTTATAAAGACCCTTTCATCAACTTTGCTCTGTCACTATCCAGAGCTTTTCCTGTGTACAGTAACTACGTACACATTGGTTATTATAGTGGGTTTATTTTATATTACATTGGATCAGACATTCAGTAAACTATGCTTGATTTTTAGCAAATGAATGTGCCCCTCTGGGGCAAAAGCTGTAGTTAATGGCAAAATTTATGAGGTAGTAACAGTTCCTGCTAGCTGCACTGTTATTGCTAAAATGAAGCATTGGCTTCTACTGAAATTAAATGGGATATTTTTTGTTGGTTTCGATTTCTGTTGAAGAATGTTCTGTAAGTTTTTATGGACTCTGTGCTCAGTAAATGTATTAGAATACATGGTGATGGATGCAACAATGTTGATTTATTGTAATTGTGAAATATGTGCTCAAATTTTGCTGCTAGCACTTAATCATGTGAGAGATTACATGGCCAAACATGAATACATTGTAAATATCAGGAATTATATAAAGAGTTGTGTGTTGCTTTATTGTTATGTAGGATATTTTTTCTTAAAAAAGAAATCAAAATCACAAAAAGACAAATGTGGTTGTCATCAGAGTATCGCTTAGTACTTAATTATATTTTGTACCTTTGAAAAGTGTTGTGGGACTTTTGCAGTGTAGGACAATCTTGTTATCTGTATTTCTGTACTTTTAATGACATTTTTACTGATCCTATAATTGGTTATGGTCATAGACTAGTGAAATTTTTTTGTAAAATTACATTTTATTTATACATAATTACATACACATACATATATATACATATATATGTATGTATTACCAATATAGATGCATAAATATACATCCCTAACTAAACTTTTCAGAGACCCAGCAGCTTTTATATTTTCGAGTATTGAATTTTCCCAGAAACTTGGGGTAGGATTTTTGCCTCTACCTTTTCATATATGCCAGCCTCCCTGTATGTTCCAGATCCCCACAAATTATCAACTAACATTAATTTTCTGTAAATATAATTTATGTTTGTAGATAAATATTTGGAATAGTTCCCAGAATTTTTAAACAGGTATAGAACACCTGGATACAGTTGTGCACTTTCTGTGACTACTTAGAGTGAAGAGCTTTGCAAAGGACAGAAAGTCATGATAGACCATAAATGCAAGGGTTTCCTTTACAGAAAAAATCTTGTTGAATTGCGAAAGAATGAAATCAAAAGACTTACAGAGAAAATAACCTAAGAACCTGTAAAATACGATAGAGAATATTTTTCCATTAATTCTATAATTCAGTTGCCAATAATGCTTATCCTACTCAACTATTCGTGTCAATTATTAACTGCTATTAACTGTTGAAAATTATTTTTATGTGTGGATTTTTGTTCCTCATCTCATTTGTATCTCTAATGAGACCTGCACTGGGAAATATGGACTTGAGGAGTCTAGATCCAGAGTCAGTGATGGACTTCAAGGCAAAATACTTCACTGTACTTTCTCATCACACTTTAGATATTGTTCCAGTTTCAGAGCTGAGTCTCATGAAAAGTCCCCATCTCTAATTCTGATCATTTTATCTGGCACATAGAGCTTTTTCTCAGTAATCTGTGACATTGCCTCCTTGTCATATTTGATAGATTACCTGAACATGTCAAATTAATTTAACTGATAAATCTTAATGCAAATGCAGGTAAGGATAGTCACATCCTTGAAGGAATAAAAATCTCACTGAGGTGTGGTAAGCATGTTAAATTTAACTGAGAAGTCATTACAACAAATAAAGAATCCCATATCGGTTTGGAAGGTGCTGTTTTCTCTTAGAATGTAGTTATTATGGAACTGGGTACCCAGTTTAAAACTGAACTTAAAAGCTGTGGACTTTGTTCAGATTCTGAATTTTGAATAGGATTTTGTAAGATGCTTCTTTACTTGTGGTAGGAAACAGTTTCCAAATTGCCCACTCGTAGTTTTAGATTCCCAAAATCTTCACATTGAAGGAGAATTTTTAGATGCTTCCTTTTTAAAGTTACTCTGTAATTTTTAGGGACCATAATTACTGCTGCCTTCCCTGGATTCTTTGCTCTAGGAAAACAAACAGATGTAGCTTTCCTCTGAAATTCATTTTCTTTCCTTTCTATACAGATAGAAATAATATGAAGAATATGAATATGTTTCTTACTTGGGCTTAGTGAGAAACAAAAACCTGTTTCCTCAGATGTACCTAACAATCAAGCTGGAGTTACTACAGTCAGTTTGCTGTGAAGTATACATCTAGGTGCCCCTCTGTTGGAAAGAACTCTGCCCGAAAAACTCCATACTGCTTCCTTCTTTTTGATATTACAAAAGGTTTAAAAAAACTCAAACAAACAAAACCCCCACAAGAACGGCCCACATCCACTACTTTTATGAGCTACAGACCAGGGTCAGAACTTTCCTCTGAAATGCCCGCAGTGTTTGCCTTGGGGAATCCAAGGCCTCCATCAGTTCCTGTAATGCTCCTGCAGCTGCTGGGTAATCAGTGGCTTTTCTATTTTGAAACAGCCTGCTAAATCTTAACTCCAGAAATGGATATTGTGCCTTTCCCCCCTACCAAATCGGAAAGAGGCCAATTATTTCATACATGGCCATCCCAAGTCTTCGTTGCTGCCTTTTGAACCCACTAAGAAATTTTCTTCCACATACAATTGTGTCATAATGCCTTAAACTCTGACCATTCAAATAAGCGTCTTGTTTATGATTTTATTAATAGTGATGTCATAACTATAACTACTTTAAAAAAATTGATAACATTGTGTTTTAAAACATGAGATAATCTGTGACTATTAGTGGTTTCAGAGAGGGACGATGTTGCAATTGTTCTTTCTATCTTGGCAAATGTATTTCTTCAGAATTAAGGAACTTCAGTTTTCATTACACTCAGTAAAAGTGCTGCCTTTTACTCAAGACTTTTGCCGTTAGCCACTAAATGCCATTCGTTTCTATGTGTATCTGCTGATACATCAGTCAGTCTTCCTCAAAAAACCCCAAATATTTGAAGTCCTTCAAAAGTTTTCTTCTCAACAGGTACTTCTCCAAACCCTGGTTGCTGATGGCTCCTGTTTCAGTAGACATTTTAAGTTTGGGGGTTATATAGAATCCCCGGATTACAATGCCAAGATATAAACTGTAATATCTTTTACTCCTTACATGGTGCAGCTACCTAGACATAGTGGAAGTCAGACAGTAGGTTTTACTGTATGCTGTCCATAAGGCCTCCTTAGGTGTGCAATTCTTCAGCTATGGGAGGAAGAGTGGAGAGAGGGTGCAGAGGAGGATACCAGCTGCGAAGCACAGCTGCATTCGACTCTGCCTGGGCCCTGATGCCTTCTGAAGTGCAGAAGATGTTAGAGTGACTAAAGGACTCCTTGTTAATTCTAGGAAATAAAAACGAGGTGGGGCAGCTAATGTTGTTAATTTATTGATGCACAGGATTTTTGGTCCTAAAACCACTTTGTCATACTTTTAAACCTATGGTTAACACATAAAAAAAGTTACATGGAAGGCCAAGAAATCAGAAACAAGAGCAAGCATTTTCTCATATGAAAATTGAATGATATTTAAAGACAAAAATAAATAAATTCTGAGTTGATTAATGTGGTATCGGTATGTGAGAATGTGCTTACCTTTCCTGCAGTTGAGAAAACAGGGATAGGGAGAAATGCAAAGTAGCAAAGAGGTGAAGAAAAGTATTTCATTGCTATTGTTAGGAGATTGCTTGTTAAAAAAGGAACGTCTCCCATTCACAGGTGCTTAGAGCTGAAATCTATTACTCTAGACCTTGTCATTTTGGAAAGATATTTATTTGACCGAATAGACTTGTTTCAGCAGATACTTGTGGGAAGACTCTCCTCCTTTCATACTGCAGGCAACAGTATAATCAGGAAAGGCTAAGAAAGAGAGAGCATAGGAGAAATGTGATGGGCAAAAGAAAACAGGAGTAGACAGAATGGGAACCCCCATGCCTCAGTCTGAGATTTCACTGACTCAGTGTTGAAGGCCAGCTGCCTTCTGGATTGCCTTTCTGCAATCTGGTGATTAAGGTTCAGCAATGGAAGAAAAAAAGTCTGTTAAGATAGTCTTTTGCTATGGAATTATGAAGTAGAATTTAGTCCACTTTTAACAGTTCCATGGTGGTGGGTGTTTTGGAATATTCTTACTTAGTCCCAAATTAAGCTCCAATAGTAATATCCATCCATACTTTCTTTAGAAGTGTGGAATGTACCTCAGTCCCTGAGTTCCATGAAATGTCTCTGTTTGAACTGAATTAATATTTCTGTCTTTTTTTTCCTCTTGCTTATATGTTGTAGACGACGGGAAAGTATCACACGACCAAGTGATTGATCATGACTAATCCAACTTTATTGCTGTAAGCTTCGTGCTTATAAAGGTTAATAATTAGCCTCATACATATTCCAAGCATAGGCTCATCATTGGCTTCTAATTACCTAAGGCATATTTATGCAAATGCTGCTTCTTTCTCATGCTTATAGTTACTTTATTTGCTACTTTGCTACTTTCTCTACATTTCCCATCCTGTTGCTCTAATTTTTCTATCACGTATGCATTTTCTTAGACAATGCAGCTTCACAGCAGACAATGCAGCTTCACAGTTTCTTAGACAATGCAGTTTCACAAACACAGTGAACAGTGACCTTCTGGTAGTTTTCCTTGCTTTAGCGTGTGACCAGAGCTATAGAATCTTTCTCATGCCCTCTTTCCAATAACCATGTTTCTGCAATACTTGTAGACTTCTTATGAGTTTTTACTGCATTTTTATCTAATTCCTATACTGGAATTCAGTATCAGCATAGGTTTGTAGGGCTCTAGTTAATACTAGAGTCCCTTCAGAACTGGGCAGCTGGATTTGGGCTGCCAGTGCCCAACTCATTTATACAACCTATTTGCGGAGTCCTTTCTTTCAAAACTCTCCAAAACAGGCCAAGGGTAGGCTGCAGAGCAGGTTACTTGCATTTGATGATCAGATGCAGCCTGTGGACTTTCTGTTATGTGCTTTGATGTCAAGGTTATTCAAAACATATTTTTGGAAGGTGTGTGAGAATCTGGCTATATGGCCAGGAATTCAGATAAAAGCTATGGGAGACTGGCAGCACTTAGGTGATTTTCTTGTATCCTCATTACAACTTTGGAGGCATCCTGATAGAGTTACAGCAGAATCCACATTACATTGACTCAACGATAGAAACCCAATTCAGGTATTAACTTTTTCTTCCTGTATCACGCTTCTGTCTTTGAACACAAATTCAGTGGACAAAAAAAATCAAATGCTGCAAAATCAACATGTGTGCTATGTTGGCCTCACCCAGGTAACATAGCTGAATCTCTTTCTGAAAATGTTGCAGTGCATCATGAAAAAATAAATATTACTTTGTTGGCTTTTCTGCTTCCCAATCCTGATAGTCTTGGTCTTCTCAAAACACAATATGATTTATTTTCTGTGAAGCAATTTTAATGAAAATGATGATATTTTATCATATTTTAAAATAAAAAGCAGGAATTTGCCAGTATTTGTTTGTTGAGTTTCTGTAACTGAAACATCTAAGAAAATATACATGATAATCTAATTATTATCCTGACACTTTGTATAATGCAACAATAAAACCTCCTCAGTTATCATTCAGCTATTCCAATGGCATAGAAATGTGTGAAGGCACTTAAACAGAGGTAAAAGAAAACAAGGTCTTTGAGGTTATCAAAGCTAAAATTCTTTTATTTATTATTTTAAAACAGAAGAATATATAATTTTTATTTTATTTTATAATTAGAAAAAAGGCAGTGTTTAAATAATGTCAGGTCTGAGTACCAAAACAATTGAAGCTAGCAAATGTGAAATAAAGGCAATGCTGTCTTCTTTTCTCACAGTGGAATTAAAAAAAGAGAAAGCTGAAGCACATCATGGAACAGGGAGAAGCAACAGTCAAATCATGGTAAACAAAGTGAAGTGATATTCAGGAAAAAATGAAGCAATAAATAAACAGTTGCAAAATCAATTTGATCTTTTAAAAAATGTGTTGTCTGAGTTTCTTGGGGAAAAATTCAGATGGGTTGTAAGCTTTGGATTAGTAGTTTTAAATGGCAAAGCTGACAATCCCATTAGTGCTGGGTGCTCTAAACTGAAGGAAGAAAAGCCTATGCTGAATATTTCAATGTGTATGGGATCATTAAAAAGTAGAGATAAAAGAAGAGTCAGTGAATGGGGAAAGAAGCCATGGGAGATAAGACTAATTCCAATGTTATAAATTAAAATACTGTTCACTAAAGTTAGAAAGAAAAGGCCTGTTGCTGCCCTATGGTACACAATACTCTTCAATATGCATTTTGTAAATGTAGGCACTTCACTGGAAATTTCTCTCATGCATGATATATGAAGATGTGCAATTATAGGAGATCAATCATGAACATTGATACTGGAACAAAACCTTCTGAAATGCATTTATATTCATGTATATGTTGTATAAGACATCATATCCTGGATTTCATACCTGGCTTGTCTTATGGCTAAAATACTATAAAATGAATTTTTTAAATCTTCTGTTTATTTAAATCTTGTGGTAGAGGCCTCAGTTTCTGACAGTTTCTCACTTGTGTGGTTGGCATATTTCTATGACATGGTCCAGTCCTGGACAATATGTTATCACAAATCCCTTGTAGAGGCCCAATTTAAATTTTCGACCATGTTTACTTAGTGTGATTATCAGTCAGTGAGTTCACTTCAGTCACTGGACAAAAAGTCCATGTTCCTTTCA